GCCAACTAAATATTAAATATTTATAATCAAATATAATTTTTATTGATCGACCGGATACTTTTGATAGGGTAGTGTATCTTATACGTTTGTCAATAAGAAGGGTATTATCCTAGATTGTGTCGATTGATTGACGCCTTCCGCTATTCGCGTAATTGCATTCCAATATCTTTTGATCCAATCAATTGTCTGTAACGTATCAACTCTAGACACTTATAGAAAAATGAAGTAATTTGATTTCAAAGGGCTTTTTATTTCAAAAAGCTTGCAATATTTAATAAATATCAATCGGGATTAACTCGATAATTTTTGACGATGGAATTCGACCCGTATTTATATTTCTGCGCATTTCTATTTTGTGTTTGTACCGTGTCAGATTTTAGGGCAATGGCTAAATTTAGAATTAATTACGCACGGTAAAATGGAATATTCTGCGGTGTTACTAATTTAAGGACTAATCGATCAGGTGGTTTGTTCGAAGATTTTATCATGTGACTGCTTTTCAGCAACAAGTATCTATAAAAATTTAATCGACTTCCTAGCTCGTAGTTGGACTTTCAATTTGTCCTTTCTTTCTTGTAGCGGGTGTGTCCCAGGGGTTTTATCTCTGAGGCGAATATAACGATTCAAGGCTGCTGCTTCGGTATCCTTCAGCTGTGCAAATGGCTGAGGAAAAAAGTTTTAGCATTGAGTATGTAGTCTTATCGAACCTAAAAATCTATCAACTGCTTGATCAAGAAATGATATGTAATACTGATTTCCTTTCTCGAGCAACTCCTCCAGCCAATGAATGGATCGACTGGAAAAAATAATTATCTGAGACGATAACTCCAATCTCTAATGTCGATTGCTGGGATTGTGGTGGTATGAAGGGCGGAGTGTCTGGTAGACGGGCTGCGGGCGGTTTAGCAGGCGTGCTGAAAGATGCGCAAGGTGATAAGTAGATGCTCACCTTTTTTTCTTGTTCTACATGTCAGACATACGCTAAACTTGTGACATCCCAGCTTCGTCACTTCCTGCGGCCATGAGGCGATGGAAGCCGCGAGCTGCGCGTTACGAATCACATGCGGCTATGCGGCGGTATGGTTCCTCTGACGCACCTTACATAGCCGGAATGACGCTGCGGCCATGTGGCGAGCTAATTCTAAGATAGTCTTCAATCCGTTGTGCGGCCATGTGGCGAGCTAATTCTAAGATAGTCTTCAATCCGTTGTGCGGCCATGTGGCGACAGCTGGGTTGAAACTATGTTTCTTATCACTGATTATTTGTTTAAAGCTACCAAAACCCCGCTATCCAGCTTTGCTTTGTTTCGTCTCCTTCCTTCTCTTCTAACAGTTGCTGAACTGGTATGCTTTAGCTTGTGATAATAATAATCCTTTTATTTTAATTAATTCTTTTTTAGGTGATCGACTTGTCACATGATGGGCTCTACTGAATGTGGCAGACAAACTAACTATTCCTTTTATTTGAATTTAGACATTTTGTTACAATGTAGGTAAACGCAAAACAAAGGTTTCTTTCCACACATTTATGAAATATTTGATGTATTTCTCATTCACACTGACAGGAATGTTAATATGTCAACAAAATTTTAGATCTCATTCCAAATGCAGTATATAATATGAATATAAAAAATAGTAAAAATGGTATTTCAATATCCAATTCACTAAGGTAGTATTTGCTTTATGCGGCAGTGACATGCACATTAAAATTTCTCGAAAGAGGGGTTATAATTTGAATAACACTTTGCATACCAACCGCTTATATTATTAATTATCTAAATACAAATTCGCCTTTGAAACAAGGAATTGATTAGGCCTCGCATTATTATTGGCCCAACTCGTACCAATGCTACTTTTGGTTTAGAGTCAACTCCGAAAAGAGCATTCTATATACAATGGACGAATGCTCGAAACGACTTTTATTTACAGAAATATTCGGTGCCAGCGATAGCGAAGACGATATCGATAACGCCGAAAAAGAACCTGCATATACTGATACGAGCGATGATAGCCATATCAATTTCAAACACACAAACAACCGTATTATAAAAAATTCCGCCCACATTCATCCGACCCTTGTGGTTCCCCAAGTCTTTCCAGCTATCCCTGGTCTCAGCCTCTGCAGAGAACTTGTTACAGACGAGGAACAAAAGACTCTTATAGATGGCATAATAGCGCAAGGATACTTTAGCAATCCGGGAACGAATCAAGCAATGTGTTTTGGAACGCTTCCTCCTTTCATTGTCGAGACTGTCGAGAACATTCTAAATAGGACAGATGGATTGTTACCAAAAAGTATTCTACTCGGAAGAAGGCCGGTCTTTGATCAGGCACGTATATTGAATGTTATATATATGTTGTGATTTAAATTGTAATTAATTTATGTGTGTTGTCAATTTTTTAATAGTTGATCGTAAATTTATATGAACCAGGTCAAGGGATCAAAAGTCATGTGGACCTTCCGAGGCACGTATAGTTTGAGTATTATTATACTCTATTTTATTTTCCCATCATCAGTTTCTAAACACTATGCCTTCTTCGCTCCATATATCGGACCCTTAGGTTTGAAGATGGAATTCTAGCCATTTCGCTCTTGTCTAGTTGCGTAATGCAGTTCAGACCAGCATCCGAGGCGAGCAAACAGGCGTTATCTTATAATAGTAGTAGGACGTATCCTCAATCAGATGAAATCATTCCAATACTTTTGAGACCTGGTGATGTTTTAGGAATGAGTGGAGAAGCGAGATATAATTGGGAACATGCAATTGAAGAAACACTGGTTGACGAAATTAATGGAGAACGAATAATCAGGAGTGTCAGAGTGAGTATTACTCTGAGAAAGATGAAGGAAAGAATTGGGGAAATTATATAGTCTGGAGACAGAAACGGGATACAAGAAAGGAAAATTTTTTTAGAGTTTATTTATTTGTAGTTGGTATACGTCAAAATTTAGAAAGTAGGATATCTATACATCTTTCATAATTTAAGATTATACGAGTAAATTATTAATGTCGTCATTGCGCCTTCCCATCAATCATCGCCCGAGAACATATCGCCGATATTCGATGCCATATCGCCGAGATCAAGATCCTGTGCCATATCACCAAAGTTCTGCATCATATCACCCAAATTAAAGCCCCCTGAATCATCAGATTGCTGTGACGTATCTTGCTGTCCTTGGCCTGAACCTTGGCCTGAACCTTGGCCTGAACCTTGGTTTACGGCGGCCTTTATTACGTTAGTTAGGATGGTGGTAGCCATCCCCGATTGCTGTTGCTTTGGTTTCTGTTTAGCTGGCTGTGGATTTGCTTGCGTTCTTCCTGCAGCGGGAGCAGTTGCTACTCCTGGACTAACGACTTGATAAGTAACACCATTAATTACTTGATACTGAGCAACTGGTTGCACCTGTTGTATTTGCTGTATTTGCTGTGGCTGCCCTTGGTTCATTTGTTGTTGTAATAGCTGTTGCTGTTGAAGCTGTAGCAATTGTTGTTGTTGTAATTGTAACTGTAGCTGTAGCTGTCGCTGTTGTTGCATCTGCATTTGTTGTTGCTGATTATTATTATTGTTCTTAAACAATGCTTTCTCTGATCCAGGAGCAATACTATAAGCAGCAAGTCTAGCAGCGGCTTTCCCAACCTCTTTCCCCACACTCAATAATTTCTGCTGGAAAACTGATGGTGCTTGATTGTATTGTGATTGATTGTATATTGCTTGCGGTTGAACTACTTGAAGTTGTTGAACTTGTTGAACTTGTCGAACTTGTTGAACTTGCACTGGTTGAAGTTGTTGTACTTGACCTGGCTGAAGTTGCTGTACTTGCTGACCTTGTTGCAAATATACAAGTTTACCATTCATAACAACCGGCTGGCCAGCAGGCACCGCTTGCACATTAACTGCTTGGGGGTTCTTATTAACAGCAGCGCTTTGTACTTGAACTGGAACGTAGTATTTCTTTCCATTTGCATCAGTACGAAGTATATACTGTGTCTGTCCCGTGGCAGGTGCTCCGGGAATATTAGGAGAAACTATTCCTCCAGGAATGGCGGGGTTCTGTTTTACTGGGTAAGCAGCCACTGGTTGTGCAGCATTTACATTCGTGGTTGGTACGGGCGGTGGCTGTTGAGTCTTATTAAGTGTAGAGTTTAAATTTGCTGGCGTTGTGCTATGCCGGTTCAATGCTGGTCGCATCGATTCGGGCACTGGTTGAGTCGAAGTGCGCTGAGGATTCTGCCAACCCAACGCTGCATGCACAGAATCAGGTGAACTCGATTCGCTGTGTGCACGCCCTCCTGTATGAGCGTGCGGCATTGTGAGCGGCGAATTAGTCGACTGCTGTGGTGGTATTGTTGTCTGTTGCGGCATTGTGAGCGACGGATTCGTCATCTGCTGTGGTGATGTTGTTGTTGTTATATGTTGTGGCATTGTGAGCGATGGATTCGTCATCTGCTGTGGTGTCTGTTGCGGCATTGTAAGCGGCGGCGGATTTGTCGTGTGCTGTGGCATTGTAGTCTTTTGCGGCATTGCAGTAGACTGATTCAATGTCTGCTGTGGGATTGTAGTTTGTTGCGGCATACCAACCGGCTGACTTGTCGTTTGCAATGGCATAGTCATCTGTTGCGATGTCACAGCAGTTTTTTGATTCAGAGTTTGTGCTTGAATATTGAAGCCCGGAGTCGCCTGTCGATTCAAATTTTCCGGCGTAACGAGTGCATTGTAAGACTGATAATTCGTAGTAGACACTTGCGCTGATTGCGGCATTGCCTGCGATACTCTCGAGTCTGCTATGCTTAAACTTTCCGTCTGAGCACATATCTGTGATATATTGACATTCATATTTCCGGGCGCTCCGTTTGAGATTGGCGAGGTCTCCATATGCCCAACCGGGGAGCCCGTTCGAGCGGGAATAGGTTGATTATGCATAACTGGTGTGCCTGATCCGGATGAGACTGTCGAGCTTGATGCAGAAGATCTGTGCGACACGTTAGAGTGCTTGCGAGGATCCACCCATTGGGGTACTCCCGTTTTCGTATCTGCAATTAATGATGGGGTTGGTTGGTTAACATAGGTAAGAATGCAAGAATCTCTAACCAAAAAAAAAAAAAAAGAAGAAGTGTGTTTACCAACAAAATAATTACGGTTATATCTTGCATCCCTGAGATAGCGACAAAAATACAAAAATTTATATAAATATCTTGGAAACGTCCAATAATCAAATAATGTTTTGACTATACCTAGGGTATATTTTTCATAGTCGACTTACCATCTTGCAACCCTTTACCATTAGTACGTGGATTATCAAGCGGCAAAAAAGAATGAGAATACATAAACGATTTCACCATGGTGAGCTGTTTGAATACCAATACAATATACAAGGGATCTCTGACGTTTCTTGGGTGATTTGGTACACTTACCAACCAGGAGGAAGCGGTTCTTCACTTGCGCTCATTTTTTATTTATTTTACTATTAAGCGTATGGTGCGTATTTTTGACAAGTTAGTACTCGAACAGGGGATAGATTTGGGTTCAAGTTCAGGTCAGTTGCGGGTTTCCCGCCTATTTAACATTGATATTTTTTTCGTTGGTCGACTTGCACAAGATGTCGAAGAAACGTGACATGAAACAAAGAATACTCGTCCGGAGTGCATTCTCCGCGTTCGAGAGCTCGCACAATTTTTTGAGCGCAAAATATTTCAAATGTCGCCATTGTTTGAACCAATCATAACTCTCAAAAAGTAATTCCAGGGGCCGTGCCACAGTTTTCTTGCGAATTCTATTTTTGTCACTCTTGTTTATTACTTGCTATTTATTATTTATTATGCTTTGTTATATTATTAATCATTGTAATATCATCTCTCGGCTATTCGTCAGCCTTGTTTGACAATCGGTGATCCGCTCTTCGTTGAAGAAATGGCTTTGCCATGCTGTAAACTGTGATCATTTTGATTCCCATTTTCCAATTAGTCATGCAACTTGTTTTGACGAGCGGGAACAAGTAACTTTTCCATCGAGGGCATTTCACTTTTATTCCTCTTTTTGCGTTACTATTTGCAGATATCGTCGCCTCCTCTATTTCGCTGCTCTCCGGTTTATGGTTTACATTGTTTGATACCTGACAATCAATTAATATTAAGCCAGCATTGCAATATGGATAACTGATAGCAGAGGTGCCAAAGGTTTTTGTCGATCTGTTTATATTGGGTAAGCAATTAGCCTTAATTGTAAATATGTACTGCACGTTAATATAGAGATAACCCGCAGTAAGGTCACGTTTTACCAACACCCTGGAATTCGCAAGTAATATAAGCACAATAATAAGTAAATGATGCCTTCGGACCAATGGTTAAAATTTATTAACGCAATATCAGTAATTGCTTACATTGATTCTTTGGTTTCCGTTTTCGTACAAATGGTAAGAAGTGGTCAACTGATACTAGTAATGATCCTTCAAGCACGAAATACGTCATGTTATCTTTGAGTCTCTTATTTTGCTTGTAGCCCGCAGAAGACGAAACGTGGTATCATATCAAACGTATTGTGCAAATATTATTGCGACCCCTGAACAGTTTGTGGCGGATACGTTAGCATGGTGCTTACGTTATTACACAGGGACGATGAATTGGGTTTGTATAACATTGGGGGGTAAGTGCGTCAATATCTAAGATGTTGGCCATCTTTACAGCATCGCATACACAGTGAGGGTTTTATTGGAGACACATAAATTACTTGTGAACGTACATTTCTATTTTGAGATGTTTAACTAGTTATAATTATTAAGCTTATTAACATCACAGAACTGCAGTGTAATAAGCATTGTGTTTACATGTACAAATCCAGTAAACTATGGATATTCAGCCCAACTAATAATGAATTAATCAAAATCAGATCATAAGAAGTATACTGAGCACTTCTTGACTTTAGCGTGTAACATAACATGCCGGTTTATTATACCAATCCTACTCATTTCGACTTTTAAATTTACCAAAATTATCCAATAGAAGTTGTAAGATTTTAATGCGGGCGCTAAATCAATATGTTTGTGCCACGCAAATTCAATAATACTTATGCACGTCGTAACAAAGCAATTAGGCATTGTGGCTTGATCACTAGAAAAATGGTATTTTCCTTGTCCTTTGCGAGCATCTTCCTCAGCAATCAGAACACCGATCACAGTTATTCTGACTGCAAGCCAAGATAAGGTCACAAAGGATACAGTATATTCTCTAATGCTAACTTTTCTAATTCAGTTGGTTCTTTTTATTGAGATTTAGTATACGCTTGGCGTTGGCTACATACCATCTTGCAAAGCATGTTTCGTTCTCGAACTCATGATTACAACATCTATTTCCCAAGAAGATATATGGTTGTCTGTTGGCATTTCTCCGTGTATTCGTACCTGTAACACTAATAATGTTTAACATAGAGTAAAAAGTGGACCACTGCTCTCGCACGCGGTTTGTATACGTGTATTACTAATACTCAGCTAACAATCTGAAATGCCACTCCATATTCTCGGCTATTCTCTCTTGAGTGCTTACTACGAGGTAAGATTTAATATTACAGTCTAATGACGGTGACAAAGGCATTTATAATTTTCCAGTGCGATAACTAATTTTTGTTACCGAACAATTATCTAAACATGTCATTTTTACAGGTTTAAAGCAGATTAAAGAAACTTTCTTTTCATCCGTTAATTCGATATGGTAATTATCTCATTTGTTGTAGAAACATTCGCGTTCTCAGACTGATTTTAAAATCTTGTACATTAGCCGCCTAATATTAACCCGATTAAATTTATTGCAATTTTAACAAATCGCGTAGAGAACGAAGTACAGCTATAAGGACCTTTTTGTACGGACCCGATGCCTTACAACGACCACCAGTGCTTTGCCACATTGTATATTCTCTATAGTATGATATTCTTAATGATACTACGCTGCATGTAATGACCTCGCTGGTTATAAGGACCGGCGGTGGTCCTTATGAAGAGCGTTGACTGTAATAGAAGTGGAATTGAAGACCGAAGATACCGTATGTTAATTTGAATCGCAGTTTACCAAGAAGATTGAAGGAGGTAATCAAACTATTGAGTAAGCTTACCCTATCATAGACAGTATACACAGACAGTCCGTGTACTTTTAACCAGTACTTGCTGTGTTGGCAATAAAAATGTTATTCACATTAATTTTTCGTTTATGCTAGTCATGAAGCATTCTCGAATAGAAAAGCAAAACGAGCCGTCATTATTTTCGCCGGGAACATATCGATTGCTAAATGGGCATGCAGGACTGTCGGAATTACAGGTTTCAAGATTGCTATAGTCGATAAATAAACCTCTCTCTTTTTTTTACTGTCTAACAAGCTGTTTGTGCTCTTGCTTAAGCTGCTAACTCTTAGTATTTAAGGCGAGTTATTTCTTAGACGAATTCTGCGTTCAAGACAAGAATGTATTGTGTCACGATTTGTATTGAAGAGGTAGATAATCTTACAAAGCCTTTACCATTTCACTTCCATTCAGACAAGAAGACTGATAACAATGATACATACCGTTGAATAAACACGTTTAAAAAAATGCCACCTTTAATTGTAAATTTCCTGTGAGTTATATTGATTGGATTTTCCTCGCTTACGATAAAAATGTATTTCAAATCAACGAGTAGTAATTGCATAGAACGGGTTACATGTAACACAACCTCAAACCATCTGAATTTAAAGTTTTATTTGTTTTACAAGATATTAAAAGTAGTTGACTGTGTTTGCCAAATGGTCATATTACATTTCATTCTAACTGTATCAAAATACTAAAAAGAAGAAAGTCAAAATCATAAAGTTACAGTTACTGTACAAAGAACGCGGATGTAAAACGCAGGATTATATGCGCTATCTTGTGAGGTTTGGCTAACATAACTATTATACGAATCAATTTGACATTTTAACATTATAGTTATAACTGAATAAAGTCCGGTTTAACGAAGATGGCTTTATAACAAACTTTTTTTTTTTTTGGAAACGTTCATTTATATATTATAGAAATAGAGTTTGCTTTAACGAATAGTCCACTTTTAACAAAAGCCCTGTTTAATTCTGATCCGGACAAATTTCCGTGTTTCGTTTCGTGTTTTCGATCTGCTGTATGTCGCCTATGAGTTTTCAGAGGAAGAAGACTTCAAATCATCTCTCCTCTCTCTGCATTAACGGACATACTTGACATCGTGGTACAACACGTGAGTTTTGGAGATGGGAACCCTTTTTTTTTTGTCCATTCCGATCACATCACACGATTTTGCGGCCACCAATCAGAGAGGGGCCAAAATGGGAACCTAAAATCAGGCGATGGAACGGAGTACTTCATTAAACCGGACTTTACTAATGTGTGTGTGCTTTGCGTTGGAGAATTTATTATTACTGTTTTGCTAAATTAAATGTTAAAAAATGTATGTTAGATGAAAATATTTACCTATTACTATAAATAACTTGAACTAACCGATTTTTGCATCTTTTAGATAGATTATGGTAAAACTCTTCAGGGTTTCCCCCGTTAATTTCCGCGTGTTTGTATTTGTGCTTGCATTGTTTGGTTAAACACCTTGACAAAATGGGAGAAAAAGTTGGTATTAATTCAGAAAGAGAATATATTACTTAGTAAAGTAGTCTTGAGCAACTATGACATACTGATCGAGTCTTGCGTTTACCTAAGTTTCTGTATGGTACTAAAAATAACTCAATTTTGCACATTTACTTCAAACACGAGTATAGATCATATTATTTTTTAGACACTGACATCTAGCTACTACTTAACGTTTGATTCAATTTATAATTCTAAGAGACTATTCAGTCTATCATTGTAGCCCCAATTATGGTTGTTATATATAAAGACGTTAAAGGAATTAGATTATAATAATGTTGGCTTGTTGGAATAATTTAAACCGTTTATTACAAGTAATTGCCAAATGGTTATACGAGTTACAGTATATAGTATCGCCACTTTACTAAGTTTTGCCAAGTCCACAGCTTGCATTTTCAAATTACCCCCCCTCCAAAAATCAATATTTGATAAACAAAATTTACAAGTCTTTGTTTATTTCATTATTATTATAATCAACAAACTCATCAAATTTAGCGTCAACTCCCAATTCTTATTTTCTTACCAATCTGTCTAAATCGATTGATAACGCTACACTTTCAGAAAACCGAATAATAATTTTAGCAGAGATGTTTGACCCACCCGCATACGTCGCTATCTTAGCACAACGAAGCATCACACGTGTCCTTTCCACAAAATCTAATCCCCAAAAGTAAGCATCTCAAATATACAGTAAAACTCAATATAACGGAAGCTACGGTTTCAACTCTTTTCTGACCCGCTAAATCGAGTTTTCACAATATTAAATATACTGGATATATCATAACAAGCCATTTAGACATCCACTATATCAAGTAATTTGCAAT